CAAAGGGAGGCCCAAACTTTACCTGTATACCTAATCCTGAATTGTACCCCACATCTTTAAAATAAAATATATTGGCTCAGCCGGGCTCGGTGGCTCAGCCTGTAATCCCGCGCCTTGGGAGGCTGAGGTGAGTGAATTGCCTGAGCCTGTGGGTTTGAGACCCGCCTGGGCAACTTGGTGAGACCTCATCTCTACAATAAATTAAAAATTAGCCGGGCCTAGTAGCGCGTACCTGTAGTTCCAGCTACTTGGAAGGCTGAGGCGGAAGGATCGCCGGCACCTAGCAAGTCGCACTCCAGTCTGGGCGACAGAGTGAGACTCCAACTCAAAAAAATATATATATATAGGCTCAAGCCTGTAATGCTAGCACTTTGGGAGGCCGAGGCAAGAGAATTGCCTGAGTCCAGGGGTTCAAAACCAGCCTGGGCAACTTGGTGAGACCTCGTCTCTATAATAAATCAGAAAAATTAGCCAGGTGTGGTGGCATGTGCCTATAGTTCCAGCTACTTGAAAGGCTGAGGCAGAAGGATTGCCTAAGCCCAGAAGGTCAAGGCTGCAGTGGCCATGAGTGTGCCATTGCATTGCACTCCAGCCTGAGCAACAGAGTGAGACTCCCAACTTAAATACACACACACACACACACACACACACACATATATAAAAGAAACATACACAGGCCCAGTGACATAGCCAGTCGGTTGCAGAACCAGGATCACATAGCCAGTCGGTCACAGAATCTACACTCTGTGCCTAACTGACCCCACTCAACTTCTCCCAAAATAGTTTGTCAACGGGAAATGCTGTCCACACTCAACAACATTCTTATCATCCTAAACACCAGTGGCCCCTCAGGCATACCTCTCACTGGACCCCCATCTATGCTTCTCCGATCAGACACCTGGATGCACAAGGCTGGCCCTGCCCAGGGTGCAGGTCTCAGAATTACTTAGCCCAGCACTGAGACCCCAACTCCCCCACAAGTTCATCATAATCCAGTGCTCTCCCCTCCACTCCTCCTCCGGCTCCCTCTAGCCACCTCTGACCCAGGAATCCAGGAGCTAGAATCAAGAAGAGGGCTCCAGAGGTTGAGGATGAGGAGACAAGGAGGAGAGCGGCAGGCATGGCTGAAGTGGAATACGGATGGCTCTGCTCCATGCTGGCCAGCATCGGTGTTGAGGATCAGACCTGGAGGGTGATGTCCAGCTCCTGGCCATGGGGAAGGCAGCCTGATGCCTAATCATATTAGATCCCTCCTCCCAGCTCACTGATCACCTCCCCCCCGCCCCCAGCCCTGCCCTGCCTGAGGTCTCCAGCCGCCCAGTTTATTTTATAAATGGTCCTTGCAGGAGGTGGGTACCTTGGCTAATTGAATCAGCACCCATGAGGCAGGAGGCAGGAGGCTGGTTAGCATCAAGGCTGAAAGCTGGTAGCAGCAACAGCCTGAGTAAAGGTATCAGGGAGGCGCCTGAAGGAGCAGGGAGGCCCCAGCAAGCTGGGCCTTGATGGATTCTGAAGCTTCAAGGTGGAAGCTCACTGGAGGCCTGGTCCCCATTGTCACAGGCTCACACAGTGAACCACAGGCCAACACACACACACACACACACACACACACACACACACACACACACACACACCATTCATACACTCTGGAAAAAGAAAATCCAAGGGGAAACAGGGAAGAAAAGAAGCAGGAAGAACGATGTGTGCCTTTGTGTGCGCGCCTGCAGTCTATGAATCTGTGCATACGTCTCTAGACTGAGCGCCAGTCACGATGCCATTCTACCTGCCCTGATGCCATCTCTGCATAATAATTAGCAAGTGAGACCAGTTTATAAGTGTTCTGGTCCCAGCAAAGCTTCTCATGGTGTCAACAGCTGCCTGGCTGCACATCCTAGAGCCTTCAAGAGGCCCTTTCTGGGTGCATGTGTCACTTGATCTTAATTGCCCGGTCTCCTTCAAGGGCGGTCTGTTTCCTTAACTATGAATTTGCCCCCGGACAGCCTGAGTGGCACAGAAACACTTCAGGGAGGGCATCACCTCTGTATGTCTGAGGACGTTGATTCCCCCAAGCGAACCCCTTCATTAACACTTTCAGAAACATCTGTGTCCACTCTGCACTGTGGGGACCACGAGGGTGGACACGGGACTGTGCCGCTTCCCTGCTACTGGGTGGTGCTGGCCCGTGGAAGATGCTCTGTGGCATTTGTTGAATAAAGGCATGATGTCACGAGGGACAATAGCGCAGCAGGGGCTGCTACAGTGGTGCTGACACCATTCTCTGCAGGATGGCCCCATGTTTGGGTCCTGTCTGCTGAGAGGGACCCTGATGGCATGGTCAGCGTTTCCTCAACAACTGTCTCAAGGACTTTCATTACCCCTCCCGACTTCCCCAAACGCTCTACTTCCCCTGTCCTGCCAACCCTTACCCCACCTTTCCCTGAAGGCCCCAGTCAAACACTTCCCCTTGCAAGGTAAAGCCAACATCAGAATGGAAGAACTCGAGTCCCTGGATCTGGAAGATGAGAAGAGAAAGGGGGCAGGGCCAACTTAGGACCCCACAGCTCTTGAAGGCAGGAATTCTGAGGGTCTGAAGGGACAAACTCTGACATGCAGATTCCTCAAATTATCCCCAAGCTCCTCGAGTAGTAAATTCCTTCCTTCAGAACCAAGACCTCAAGCCTGGCGGTGGCTAAGGCCCCAGTGGTCTTTTTCATGGGCTCACACTGCCCCCTACTGGGATGATCCAGGATGGTCACCTGAAGCTTTGCCCAAGGAGATTAGAAATGTGGCTTTCTTGCAGAAGAGAACCACTAACTGCTATCCCTGGCTTGAAGGGGGGAAAGAACGAAATCCTTGGAGGCATAAGGCCTTCCTGCCTCCAGCAGATCCTGAGGCTGGGAGTGGATGGCAAGAGGCAGCACAGGAAGGCCCCTCGCTCACTCTCTCCAGACTGCTCATCTACTGCTCAAATTCCTTCAATAAGGGGCCAAGTCACAGTGTGAGACAAAACTTAGGTTACAGCACACCTGAAATGCTGTCACCTATCCGTATGTCTATACCCTACTCCCTCCGAATCACTAGCTCCTCTGTCGAGTCTGAAGACACCTCTTGCCAGACAGATCCCAGCCATCTTAAAAAATTAAGTTCATCTTGTTCTCAAAACATGAGTCTCTCTAGAAACCCTCTGTCCAATATGACTCCAGGATAACATTGTTTGAATACAGTATTTTTTTTTTTTTGAGATGGAGTCTCACTCTGTCACTCAGACTAGAGTGTAGTGGCTGCTCCTGGCCACTGCAGCCTCAACCTGCTGGGCTCCGGCGATCCTTCCGCCTCAGCCTTCCGAGTAGCCGGAATTACAGGCACGCGCTACCACACCTGGCTCATTTTGATTTTTACTGTAGAGATGAGGTCTCGCCAAGTTGCCCAGGTGGGTCTCGAACCCGTGGGCTCAGGCAATCCACTCACCTCAGCCTCCCAAAGCACGGGATTACAGGCTGAGCCACCAAGCCCGGCTTTACAGTATTTTCTAAATTTCTCCCTTTGTACGTGAGAGAGAGAGTCAGGGTCTCGCTCTGTTGCCCAGGCTAGAATAGAGTGGCACAACCATAGTTCACTGTAGCCTCGACTTCCCGGGCTCAATCAATCCTCCTGCCTAGCCTCCTAAGTAGCTAGAACTATAGGCATGCACCACCATGCACCTGGACTTTTTTTTTTTTTTTTTGATAATGAGAGGGTCTGACTAGTCTCAAACTCCTGGGCTCAAGTGATCCTCTTGCCTCAACCTCCCAAGGCACTTGGATTACAGGTGTGAGCCACTACACCTGGCTGAATTTCCCCCTTTCAATTCAACCCAACCTACCCCATCCCACCCCAAGTCCATCTTCCACAGGGAGGGAAGCCATTAGGGCTATTACCCTATACAGCCCAGCTCTTATGGAACTCCCTGTTTAAAAGCGTCCTCCTTCCTTTCTAATTTGGTACAAATTCCTCCTTACATAGTTAGAATGTGCCTTCCCAACTTGGTTGCCTCATGTTCCCTCTGAGCGTAGAACTCCATCAGACACATCTATGTTTCACACTTGCTTTTATCTCTACCCGGGATGCTCTCTTCATAACCTCCCTCTTTTTTAATTTTTTTGAGGGCCTCACTCTGTTGCCCAGGCTGGAATACAGTGGCACAATCAAGGTTCACTGCAGCCTTGAACTGGTCTCAAGGGATCCTCCTGCCTCAGCTTCCCAAAGTGCTGGGATTACAGCTGTGAGCCACCAGGTCCAGCCTGTACCCCCTTAACCATCGCTGAATTCCCTCCCACCTTTAAAGTTCCACCTTAAATTGCACCTTTGAAATGAAGCCTTCCCAGGTTTCCAATAAATAGTTCTCTCTCTCTGAGGTTTGCATCCCCCTCTTATGACAGCTTTGTCTCATCCCTTCGGGCCTGTCTACCTCTTGAGGTCCAGGCAGTCTTACACAAACAATGCTCCATTACTGGCGAAGGGGCTGAAACCAGAAATGTAGGGACATGCCCTTCCAGGAAAGCAGGCTTTGATGAGAGGGGAGAGCACCAGGACACAGAGCCTGAGCTGTGGGAACATGGACCACGTGGAGACCAGGGGCCCTCGGGGCCAATGGAGAAGTACAGAGTTGGAAGGGGTCCCCTGCACCCACATGGTGCAATGCCTTCACTTCACAGACAGAGAAAGCAAAACTCAGGGAAGGGAAGGGCCGGTCCAGGACCACAAGGCAGGCTAGACCTCTTCCAAGTGCTTCCAGAGGCTCCATCAATTCCAATTCTCTCCTTTGTTACAGTCCAGCTTCCCCACTCCCCCATGCCTCCCCTGCCACTTTTACGGCATTGACACGTATGACATCTTTCCCAGGCACAGGGAAGACTTTGCAGCTGAAAGAGGTGGTATTCGTTCAGAGTCTTCATCCTCAGCAGGGTGTGGCTGTCCCATCCCCACCTCTACAGCACTCAGACCACACAAAAATGTTTCCGAAACGTTTTAATGCCATGAAGAAATCCGAAACCTGCAGAAAGCTGCAGCCACCCCTCTGGGTGCCTAGAGCCAGGGCTGTCCCCTGAAGTGGCCTCCAGCAAGCAGGAGGCCTGCACACGCCTAGCAACCCAGGCAATTTGCTTACGTCCTGTTGTCCTCTGCCCTAAATGCCCCAGGTTCCCTCTAGGTCAGGAAAGAAAGAGGAGGAAGTGGAAAAGGAGTAGGAGGAGGGCGGGTCTCCCCAGGGCACTCTTCCTGCTTGGGGATGGTGACTCACCCAGCAGCCCCTGGAGGGACAGTGCACCAGACCAAACTAAGGCAGGCCAAGCCAGGGCTCTGGAGGTGGCAGAGGGAGGTTCTTCGGACACAGTGACTAAAAGGAGTCACCGGCAGAAGCCAGAAGGGGAGGTGGGCCTTCCATCTGCTGCCTCCTGTCACTTTGGGCCCTTCCTAAGCACAACATTGTCATACTCGGTTCCCAGCTGCAAGCCAGAGGGAGGAAAATCCTGCCCGGCTGGGTGGACATGCTGGAGGCCGCTGGGGTCCCTGTCAGCAGTGGCCTGCCTCCTCCACGCCTCACCCCGGGGCTCCTGTGGGCTGTCATAAAGGGACAGGGCAGCCACTCCCTCAGGCTCGTCGTATATGTGGTCAGATCGAGAGGGCCGGGGTTCCTCGATGCTGTCGTACAAAGGGTCAGCTGGGAGCTGGGGAGGGACAGCCAGGATGCCCCTGATGCTCTTCCCCAAGGAACGGGCCACTGCATCGAAGGGTACCGCGTACTCCCCCTCTGGGCCCCGTGGCCGTGGGGACACTGACGCCGTGGGTGAAGGCGGTGGCAGTGAGTCGTGGGGCCGAGAGTAGGGGCTCTCTGGCCGGGGCAATGTGGCAGGGATTATGGCTGGCTGGGATGGGGGCCCAGAAGGAATGGCATTCTTCTGAGCAGAGATGGCCTCTTCAAGGGCCAAGAAAATCTCGTTGCCTTGCCGGGTTTCAAACTCAAAGTTGCCCTCTCCAGAGATGCAGCGCCGGCCTGCCTCAAAGGAAAAGGTGACCTGGGCCGGGGGAAAGAAAGTTACTGGCTGGGCCACAGGGAGGGTGGCCTTCCTGGATCCAGCTGTGACCATAAGCCCTGGGACCGCCAGCTTCCCTCCACCAGGAATGGTCTGAGCCTTCTCCCCAAGCCCGCTGTGCTTCTTCCTTTTGAGCAAAGACTTTCCCCTCTCCTCTCCCTACTCCTTGCCCCTCCGGCTCCCTTCCACCCATGAAGTACGTGCTACTCACCCCCTAACTTCTGCTTCTTTTTTCCTTAAGATACAGGGGTCTTTCTATGTTGTCCAGGCTGGTCTCAAGCTCATGCCCCGGTAATTTTTTAATTTTAATTGTATTTTTGTAGAGATGGAGTCTCGCTATGTTGCCCAGGCTGATTTCAAACTCCTGGCCTCAAGGGATCCTCCCTCCTCAGGTTCCCAAAGTGCTGGGATTATAGGTGTGAGCCACCAACGCCCAACTCAACTTCTTTCTACCAATTCTCAGCCTCCTGCCTTCTCTTCCACCTCCACCATTGTTTCACTCTCTCCTCTTCTTCTTTGCTTCACTCTGTCTCCCTGTCCTGGTTCCCTCTTCCATTCCATGTTTCTCTTCTCTTGGTCTTTTCTCCGCCTTTCTTACCTCCTCCTCCTCCTCCCGTTCTCTCTTTCTTTCTGGCCTCTTCTGTCTCTCCCTGACCACCTCTCTTTGTTCAGAGCTCATCCTTTCTCCCAACCAGCCCCATGCAGACCCCTCTTACCTTGTCTCGCCCAAAGCGCCGCAAGAACCTGTAGGGCCAGTCGTAGAGCTGGGTACCTGGCTCGGGGCCGCCCCACAGCTCCAGGGCTTTCTCCCCAGCCCGGAGGGTATAGGATCCCCAGAGGCGGCACCTTTCACTGGCTTCAGTAGGCCTCATGGTCACAGCAAATTCCTTGCAGGGGGCCACTGGGGAGGAGAGGAGGAAGAGGGAGAGGCAGTTAACGGGAAACAGCTGGTCTGCCTCACAGCTGCCCAGTTCTAAATAAGCGTGCCGGAAGGTTTCTAGAAAAGGTATTTTCCATGCACCCATGAACACCAGCCTGGATCTTGAAGGCTAAGCTGCTCTGTGCCAGGTCATACTCTCCAAAACGCCAGGTACCTCCACCCCCTACCCAAGTAGGCATCGTGCCCCTAGCCACATCCACCCGACCTCGTGCCCACATCCTTCCTGCTGCTGTCACCAGGGCCACAGTCTTGTCTTCCCCACCCCAAACCAGCCACCTCTCCAATCCCTACTGTCACAGCTGCAGGTAAAGCCCGACCCTGCCCTCCCACTGCCGGCATGTAGATGGAAGGCAGACGGCGGCTTCTCTTCTGTCCACCAGCTCCTCAGAAGCCGCACCCTCCCCTGGGTCTCTCATCCTTGCCCTCCCCCTCCAGCATGGCCTGGGCAAGAGGGAGTAAACTGAGGGTGACACCCAAGACAGGCCAGGCTCCCTCACCTTGGGCTGCACCCGGAAGCAAGGGGGTAGGCTGATAAGGGGGCCGGCTTAGGCTTAGGGCGACCACAAGGCAGGAAGACTCAAGGCTAGCGGCTGGCCGGCCCTCCCCTCCTCCCAACCTTGCCCTGGGGAGAGCACCCCGGGGGAGGAAGGGCCACCCTGCCCCTCACCTGTGGCCGTGCTGCCGTACAACTCGTTCTCCTCCATGCAGGGCCGGCTGTTCTTCCCTTGCCCCAAAAGCTCCTTCCTCTGCCCCTGGGAAAGAGGCCCCAGGTCTCATCACCTTCCCCAATCTCATAGCCCACCTGTGGCCTGGGTTCCCTTTTTCTCTTTTCTTTTTTTTTAGAGACAGGGTCTGGCTCTGTCACCCAGCGTGGAGTGCAATAGTTGAGTCGCAGCTCACTGCAGTCTCAAACTCCTGAGCTCAAACAATCCTTCTGCCTGGACCTCCCAAGTAGCTGGGACTACAGGGACTACAGGCACATGCCACCGTGCCTGGCTAATTCTGTTTATTCTTTGTAGAGACGTGGTCTCACTACATTGCTCAGGTTGGTCTTGAACTCCTGGCCTCAAGTGATCCTCCCACCTTGGCCTCCCAAAGAGCTAGGGGTGAGTCACCATACCCTTGGCCCAGGCTTTCTTTCAGGGCCTACCCAGCCTGCTGGTCCTGTCTGCACCCTGGACGGAGTAGGGTGCCCTCATCAAGAAAGCACCCCAGCATCCTGACCTTGACTCTTCTAACACCTGCCCACAGAAAGTATCTCATGCCCCACACATGCCCTTGCCCTTTCTGCACCCCTGGATGACTCACAGGGAAAGCCAGGAGGCAGATGGCCTGCATCCAGTCACCGCGCTCTGCAGCAGGGGCTGCTAGCAGGTACAGGCGCTCCTTGGTCTCCAGGAAGAAGGCGCTGGTGTCCCGGGGACTGCTGGCCTCCCCGCTGGCCTCAGCCACCCGCAGGCAGTCACTGAGGCGGATAATCTTCCGGGCTGCCTCACCCCGACGTGGCTTCTCTGGGCCCTCCTGGAGCTCCAGCCGGGCCAAGGCGCAGCCCGATTCTCCATACAGCACAGCCCCGAACCGGCGCCATTTCTGAGCCCAGAAGTATGTAAGTTGGGGTGCCAAGAAGAGTCCCCCAGGGATGGAGAGATAGTGACCAAAGGGGAGAGAAGGAGCCATGGGAGGGGGATGGGGCAGCCACTCCGAGATGGGGAGAGAGAGGTAAAGATCACAGGAAACCCAGTGGGGCAGAGAAGATGACAGGGATAGTGGGAGTCAGAAAACCGGAGATCAGCCGCAAGCCACCAAGAAAGAGGCCTGCCGGTAGGAGCACAGAGACTGAGGAAGGCAGAAAGAAGCCCAGCAATGAGCCTGCAGGTGCAGGCAGCAAGAAGCCAAACAGGCCCAACCTCACCACCCCATCAGAACTAGTCTACAGGAGAAAAGCCAGTGAGTCACCAAACCCAAGAGAGGAGTGAGGAGGGCGGCATGCGGCCGAGGCAGGAGGCCTCGTTCTCATTCTGTGTGAAGTCCTGAAGAAGGTCCATCTCCAGGAACTTCTCCCCACCCTCCCAAACCTCCCTACCTCCCCGCTTGACAGGTTGGGCCATGAGAGACAGACAGATGCCCCCCAGGGTGGATCAGCTGAGAGAAGAGGACTTCCTTGTTCAAGGAGACCAGGAAAGGAGGAGGAGGATGGACACACTGGCTCCCAGAGGCCCCAGCCCAAGTTCAATACCAGCCCCGTCTGCCTCACTGAGGTGGGGAAGGGAGAAGGAGCCTCCACTGCCATTCCACATCATCATCCCAGCTATTCCTTCTCTTCCCTTCCAAGTCGCTCCCCCATGAGAAGTCAACACAGCAAGAAATTAAGTCAGCACACTTTCCATGCCAGGGCAAACAGCCTTCATTAAAAAAACACAAGCTGGAGCCTGGCTTGGGAAGCAAGTGTCCGGGAGAGAGAGAGAGCCCTTTCGAGGTCAAGATCCCGGTCTAACTTGGTGGACACATCGTTGGCCCTAGAAGAGTTCTGGAACATTAAACTCCCTCTCTACCCTAGGAATTTCTGGGCACCCCCCAGGCCCTCTGCCCAGCTCCAGCCCCAGCCCAGTCGTGCTCCTACCTTTCCAAAGGTCTGCTGCTGCTGCAAATACAGGAAGCCCTGCTTCACCGCCCCTTCGGCCATCCTCTGGGCATCGTAGGGCCCCTAGCTTTAGTTCTCTCCCTCCTGCCCGCCCTCTTTCTCTCCCCTCTCTTCACAGCGGTGCCGTCCCCTTCTCTCAAGTTCATTTCCTCTCTGCCTAGAGTTTTCTGCACTATTCTAGTCTGCTTGATGACGACAGGCCCTGTGGTTTCTTGTGTGTTCTTTTTTTTTTTTTTTTTTTTTTTTTTTGCTGAGTGAGTTTCATACTCAAGCTTCCTGCATTTCTAGTGAGTTAGAGACAACTTCCAAAAAAGCCAAATGCCAGCTCTTCAGTGACCTACAATTCAGGTACAGAAACTGGCACTGAAAGGTACCAGCAGACAGTGGCTGTCCCACCAGAACAAGGAGACCCAGAAACCAAATTGGACAGTAAAACCAATAGCAGAAGACCCCCTCAATGTGGATGCTGACAGAAGGGACGACTTACTAAGCTAACAATGAGGAAACCAAGGAAAGGTTTGAGGGATTTATTCAAGACCACCAAGCCAGAAGCCAGGTCTCTCAACTCTAACAGGTGAACTACACACCCAGCACTGCATACAGAGAAACAGAGACTATGGGCACATGCCTGTAGTCCCAGCTATTCGGGAGGCTGAGGCAGGAAGAACACCTGAGCCCAGGAGTTCGAGGCTGCAGTGAGCCATAATTGTGCCATTGCACTCCAGCCTGGGTGACAGAGTAAAACCCCAACTCAAAAAAAAAAAAAAAAAAAAGCTAGATACCACCTTCTCACACACACTAAACACACACATGTATGTGCATACACACATACAGATACAACTGTTCCACTACATGGGAGCACTCCCTGTCTGCCAACAACACACACTTATACCACCCGGTGTAGATTCTAGAAACATGAACATCCCCTCTGGGAAAGGGCCTTACTCTGCAAATACATCTCAGCTGTTGGATTTTGCCTTCTTTACAGCCTTCATGAACATTAGAAAGATGTTAGGTGTTTTGGGGTTTTTTTTTTTTTCAATTTAGAGAGGGAGTCTTGCTTTGTTGCCCAGACTGGTCTCAAACTCCTAGTCTCAAGTGATCTCACTTTGGCCCCAAAATTCTGGTATTAGCGTGAGGCACACCGTCTGGCCAGACACTTGGTTTTCATCTGCAGATTATCTTAAATTTCAATAGCAATTTAATATATTTTAAATGCTTCATAGTTACCAAAACAAAAGCGCTTCCTAGTGACCAAAGCTTCAGGCTCCAGGCTTTGGTCACTTTCACCAGCCACACTATCCCTTGACAAAGGCAGGGCAGATATGGACACACCTGTCTGCAACTTGCCTGAGGTCACAGAACTAGTGGGGGGCTGAGGAGATAGTGGAGCCCAGAGCTCCTGATCTGTAATTCAGTGTTTTGTGGGGCCCCTAGTGGAATCTAGACTCCATGCAAGAAGATACATTGTTTTGGGGAAATCCAAGCTCCTCCAAGAAATTTCACTTAAAGCCAGATGGTTTAGAGAAGCAATCTGCAGCAAGGCATGGTACAGAAATGTTGGGGAAATACCTGAATGAGTCCAACAAACACTCTTGGGACTAATCCTATAACAGGTGCTTATAGAAATGGGCCCGTTTCCGCTAGCATAGAGAGAGGTTCAGTTGCCCTGGTAAGGAGAGCAGAACCATGCACACAGCTCAGGTCTCCTGCTGAATGTGCTGTGTGCAGGACCAAAGCAGCTGAAAAGCTGAATGTTAAAAGCTCTGGGAGGAGAGGGCTGCGTCACTTCAAGCTCACTGCCCTCAACCCAGCTACCTGGGTTCAAACACGTTGATCCAGAGCCCAAGGGAGGACTGAGGATGTTGTTTTGAGAAAGCATACCTTGCGAAGTGGCTGGGTTATGGAAGTGGACGTGACCTATGCTGCCTCCCTGGTCTCCAAGGCGAGTCGACTCTTCTGGGACTTTGGGGGCCATCCGGGGACTGCCACTCCAGTGCCTTTCCAATTGTCACACGTAGATCTTGTTAAAAGTGCAGATTTCGATAAAGTAGGTGTGGGGTGAGCCCTGAGCTGCAGCTGCTGCTGGTGGGTGGGCCAGACCACACTTAAGAGTAGCAAAGCAATAGAGGATGTTCCTATCACTCCCAACCCCTCCCCTGAAGGTACACCAGATGCATTCCACTCAGGACCACAGGGGGGCACCCGAGCTTACCAGATTACTTGAAAACTGTTTACACCTGGAGGCCTGAACCCCAGGCAATCCGGGCATTCCCACCTCATCCCACGCCCATGGAAGCTGGAGACAGCTCTCCTGCAGCAGCTGTCCATGGACAATAAGGTAGCAACACTATTACCATCCCTCAAGTGCCCTTCAACTTACCCTAGCAGAAACTGTGGGGACCCTGAAGTGGAAGCACTAACCCCAGTACCTTCAGTCTAGCCACAGGGGAATCCTGGGAGGGGCCCAGAGACATTGCTCCAAGACAAGCAGAGGGGCAGAGAATTAGAGGCCCTTAGGGTCTCCGGGTCCCACTGATGGGTAGAAAAAGCATCACAAAGGAGTTTAGGGTGTCTCTTGGCTCCTCTGTGCTTTTACTGGAAAGGAAGGGGCACCCTAAACCCCACCTGTGCCTCAGTATAAGTCACTGAAACCCTTTCCTTTTTTTGTTTTTGTTTTTAGTTGAAGTCTCACTCCATAACCCAAGCTGGAGTGCAGTGGCACTCACTGCCACCCCAGTGTCAATCTGCCGGGCTTAGCCGATCCTTCCACCTCAGTCTTCCAAGTAGCCAGCACTACAGGCGCATGCTACTATGCCTGGCTAATTTTTTTTTTTTCTTATTGTAGAGACGAGGTTTCACCAAGTCGCCCAGGCTGGTCTCAAACCCCTGGGTTCAGGCAATCCTCTCGCCTCAGCCTCCCAAAGTGCTGGGATTACAAACTTGAGCCACTGCACTGGTTCATCCAAAACCCTTTCCTTTACAGTGGTTTCCCTCAGCAGGAGTTAGGAATCACAGATCAGAAAGCACAACTCCGAGAACTTTGCAACTTTTTGTTACTATTCTCCTGCAGTGATGAGCAACCAAATCCTAATGCAAGAGAGATTGTGTCCTTGTCTTTGGGGCAAGAAAAGTTGGGGAATCAGGTCACCCAAATGATGTACCTGTGGGAGACACTACCCAAGAAGTATCTCTGGGCACACAACAGGAAATGGGTATAGGATAGGTAAAGAGCTCACGTGGGCCTAGGAAGAATGAAGGACTGAGCAAAAAATAAGTGAGCAGAGATTCTGAAAGATCCCATTCTTGCCTCCCCCCTCCAGTGGTTTCTGACTGTGGGGGACGGAGGACAATACCAGTCCTTGAATTTTCCCCCACCCTTTCTCTAAGTCTATCACATTTCCCAATACTAAGAAGGTTATAGAAACCTTCTGAGAGGAAGGGCCTATAATCATGTTATGTAATATTAACATAACACTTTAAATGCCTTATGTTCTCTTATGAGTCCTTCATGTACCCTAAAACAAGACTGAGATAAAGTCAATTCATTTAACAATTATTTATTGTATGTTTATTGCAGCATTGCTCACAGTAGCAAGAACATGGAACCAACCATGCTGCCCATCAAAAGAGGGCTGGATAAAAAAATGTGGTACATATACATGAAGGAATATTATGCAGCCATAAAGAAAAACAAAATCATGAACTTCACAGCAAACTGGATGGACTTAGAGTCTATAATACTGAGTGATCTTTCACAGAAACAAAGAACTGAGTATCACATGTTCTCACTCATAAGTGGACCTTGAACAGTTATTGTAATACTATAAGAAAAGGATTGGCAGTAGCAGGAAACTGCTGGGGGCAGGTGGGGAGGCGGGATTGGCAATTGTGGGAATCTGCCTGGGGAAGGGAGGGCACACCTCATCAACAAGGGTACCTGCATAACGAACATTTGTATACCTAACCCTGAATTGTACTTTACATCTTTAAAATTAAAAAAAAAATAAAAAGTTAAAAAAACAATTATTTATTAAGAATCTACTCTGCACTGAGGTACTAGGGATGCAACATTAAGACAGACAGAATTCCTATTTTCATTGTGTGTGCCTCAAGTTGAAGAGTCTGACAATAAAAAGAGTAAATATGTAAGACTGTGATTAATGCTCTGACAGCAATAGGGTGGTAAGAACAGCTTCTCTTAGTAGGTGACAACTGAGCTGAGAAGTCATTGACAGTAGGAAACCAGCCATTTAAAGATTTGAGGGAAAAACAATATTCTAAACAGAAGTTCCTGCATGTGCAAAGGCCCTGAGGCAGGAACATCCTGGATATGAGGAATTGCAAGAAGGCCAGAATAAACAGAGCATTGTGAGCAAGAGAAGGCATGATAAAGATGAGGCCAGTTCATGTGACCTCTTGGGCCACAGCAAAGATTTGGATTCTAAATGCAATGAGAGACCACTTAAGGATTTTAAGTAGGAGTATAAATTACCTGAATTCTGATTTTAAAGAAATGTTTTGCAGCTGTATGGAAAACAGGGGCAAGAGAGGAAGCATGGAAACTAGTTAGGAATCTATTACCAGAGCATAGGAGAAATGTAATGGTGACTCAGACCAGGTTGTCTAGCAGTGAAGATAAACAGAAGTGGCCAGATGTGGGTACACGGTAGGTTCAACAGGACTTGCAGGTGGATTGGGTATGGGGACTGATAACACAATCAGGATAACGCTTGAGTGTTTAGAGCAGTTGGATGAATGGTGTACCATTTACTGAAAAAGTAAGACAAAGGGAGTAACCAATAGGGGGACAGGGTAGGGAGATGTACAAAGGTTTGCGCCTAGCCCACCAGGAAGCTGTTACCTCTACTCAGTCGAGTAGCGAATCCAAAGACTGCCATTATAACTGTGACTCCAGTAATATACTACTGCCCGGGGCAAGGTCAAGAAGCCCAACTGACCCCACCACCTTTCCCTTTTTACACTTTCAGACACTGGAAGGTTACTGAAAAAACAGCAACAACAACACCTCAAAGAGCTACACCTGCCAGAAGTAACGGTGAAAAGCTCGGCCACACTTCTGCCTCTTAAATCTTAGCTCTGG